ACATCTTTCTCCGGGTGAGGAACATGAACAAATTTTTGAAGTGCTTGTGAATATAACATTGCTTTATCACTTTCGTTCAAATTCTTATTTCTTAATATAGAGTACATTTGTTTATCTATTTCTGATAAATACTCTTCTGTCATGTTTTCTAACCGATCTTCCGGTATAAGGCGATATTTTTTACTGTACTCCATTAATAATAGAACTGATCACAGATATAGCTGCAGGTAAGAGAAAAACTCAGAAAACCATCACCTCGTTGAACGAGCAATTCTCGTTTTTTTGTACAAAGGTATTTTACGGTTCGCTAACTTACGTATACTTCTCTTAAAAGGAGTGAGTTTACTTTTCAGAGTTTTAGATACTGGTATATTACCCCGAATTAAATTGAGTGCACACTCACACAAAGATTTGATGATACTATTTGGAACTTTTTGAAGTAGAAATCTTTTTGATTTACTCTTTGCTAATGTTTTCAGTTGCTTTATTAAATGCTGCTCGCATTCTGACATTTTTAGTATTCAATGAAGCTACGAAATGAATTCTGTAGTATTTATAGGATTCCAAATCCAATATTTTATCCTTTACTTCTTTTCATATAAACGTGGAATAATAAGCGGATTTTTCATTTTATAATAAAGTAAGAAAAAAGATAATGCATTCTAAAATTTGAGTTTTGTATCAGATTTCCGCTAAGCGTCTTCTTATCGCGGTAAATACACGTAATGTTTGTCTTCCGGAAATATTCCTGTTCGTAATCGTAAACTCTCTTCTGTGTCAGGTTTCAAATCAATCAACAGATAGCTGTAAGGTTTAAAAGTTGCATCCTGAAACACTTCTTGAAAAATTTTATTTCTTGTTGGGTAAAGTTGTCTACCCAAGTGCATGATCTGAGACTTATCACGCGGATTTTTAAATAAGACCATATAATGGCAATTAAGAGATTAATTAAGAGGCAATTAAGAGAGAGAATTATTAATGGCAGTTTTGACGCCATTAGTCAAGTTTTCAATTGCAACGTCAATATCTTTTCTAGTTTTGAGCGTACCGATTTTCGGGGGATTTATCTGAAGAATATCTCTGTAGAGATTCCAGTCAGGGAGTTTAATTTTATTTGCATTTTTATCCCTGGCTACTCCAAGTGTGACAACCACTGGCAGATGATCAGAAGTGAGTTCATGTAGAACTTCTATAGTCATGGGAAAGGAAGTATTAGTAAGGAGGAGATCTAGAATCTCTGCTCTGCGAGGATCATTTGGCCGGTAAGTGTATTCAGCCGGCGCCTCTAATGCAATGGGGTGATTCGTAATAAATTCATGTAGAATATTTCCATTTTTGTTTGTCTGTCTGCATCCCCATTCTTTATTTTTTGAATTAAAGTCCCCGCGAACGATAAACTGATGATTTCAGGGAAATACTTTTCAGAATATCTTCATTAAGCTGAACATAGGGGGGGGGTTATAAAAAGCACTAAAATAAACAGTCCCTAGGTAAGGTAGTAATATTGAAACTGTGACCATTTCATTTGTGGAGTTCCTTTTGTCGGAAATAAAACAAGATTGCAGGGAGTTCGTACATAAATTGCGACTCCCCCACCTCTTTGACTCAATCGATCACATCTATATGTGCGATAATTATTAATATGTATGTTACACGGAGTAGCGTAAGTCTCGGAAATTAAAGCGATGTCAATCTCATGAGTAGTGAGGAAATTGTGGAGTTCCGTGATTTTATTAAGAATGCTGTGAGCATTCCAAAAAACTGCTCGAATGGGGGCCTTGTTAATGTTGTGATTGGCCATTATGGTCTCCGGATTGTTGTGTTTCTTGAATTACTGCTTTAGTCTGTTGAATTTGCTGTGAAAGCAAAAAGCCTGAGCTTTTGATTACATTAACAAGTTCAGCCAAGTCGGTGAACACATTTTTCGCTTCACTAATCGTGTTAGAATATATTCAAGTAGAAAGAGCTTGTGCATAACTTTTGCTTTCTCTTGTTTTTTCTTAGGGAATTTGTCACATCCTCGAAAATTCGATGTATGTTCTTAAAGGCAATTGGCACATTTTGGTGTTTTTTCTTTATTTTTATTGGGGCAAAGATATGATAAATTTTCCTCAGCGCATCGAACACATTTGGGCGTAAAGTAACATCCTGCTTGGGTGTGGTGGAACCCCTGACAACGGTAACATTGTAGGGGCCCAGCTCTACCCTTATAATCTTCAATTCTTACTCTTAGCCCGCATAGGTTAGTGATGTTATGTATTTCCTTCGATTTATCCTTTCTGGGTAGTGAAACAAGGAATAGAGGCAATTTAATTACCTCACCATTTCTCCTGCTAGTCATTTGTTTGATAGAACTAACGACTAAATTTTTTAATTTTAGTTCCTCGTTAATTTCCTTGATTTCAGTATCATGAAGTAGTCCCCTTATGACTACCTTAATATCTTTATCCTGTGGCAAGATAAATGAGTGATGTTCTATTTTTGCGGCCTGAAGCAGCTTAACTATCACCCTGTAGTCTTCATCATCTTTGGTCATAATTCTAATACCCTTAGGAGTTTGACGGCTATCGACTTCAATATTACGCTCTTGAAAGGTTTTCCTAATATTATTCCAAACCTTGTTAGTCACTAGGTGGTATTTTATATTTTCTGACAAAGTTTGTGTCAGTTATCTTCATTTTCGTCTTTATTTTGTGGGTTTGGTTTCGGTTTGAGAGTGTTCCGTTTCCGGAGAAGTGGTATCCATTGTATCATTTTCGGTTTCCACAATAGTGGTTAATCCCTGTTTGTGTTTGTTATTTTTGTGTAACTCATGTTGTTTTTCTTTTGATTGTGTATCATCATTAGATTTCTTATCAATAATGTCAGAGTTAATGTGCCTGGTGGCACGTGGTAAGTCATTCGGCATATCGGTTTTTGCTTTTTCGCCCGGCGGTTTTGCCGATCTGGTGCGTACAGTCTGGTCACCTCTTCGTTTAGAATAAAATTCCTCGTCGGAACTAGTGTCCTGATCAAGTGTAGTTTCTTTTTCTGAGCTTGTTCGTTCATTATCATTAAACTTTAGTGGGCTGCGTGATCGTTCGGTGTCGCTATTTTTATCAGCTTCGTCGGTTTTTTGTGTGTGTTTCATTTTATATGTATTGCTGTTTTTGTCAGCTATATATGCATTAATGCATGTGAGCATGTGCACGTAAAATTTGTAGTCACGTTCTTGTTCGCAAGTAAGTGCGCCATCATCGCAACGCTTATGTTCCAGTTCCTCAATGAGCTGTTCGAAAACAAGCTAATTCTGTCCACGATCGATCCGAAAAATCCAGAAATCCAAAAAATCGCAGCGCCCAAAATCGCAGAACAACCCGCGCCCTGGAACCGGGCCCGCTCGACGGCGTCCCGGCAGACAGATGGGCGGGTGGAAACTCACAAGGCTCCTGACAATCACCTGACAGTGAGAGCTAGGGAGTAACTATGTGAGTTGAAAATTCAGCGAAGACACTAGCAATTAAAGTACAGCAAAGTTAATTACCTTCTTGTAACACATTAGGCGTAATGGCAATTATATGGCAAGATAAGCAAAGCATAATCATAAACCGAGTAACCGTCACTGCGTTAGCACGTGGCCGTGCTCATCGAAGCGTGAAATCGGCGATTCGGATTTGGCGGAACTCCCCACAAGTACGTCCTTCGCAAGCGAAGGCAACCCTGCGAATAATACGTTGTCGAGTTTTACGCTTTCTTTTATACTTCCCTCTACCTAACATCGATTCCGCTTTCTTAACATCTTTTTCAGCCAATAATTTTTCAGCTTCTCTTGATCTTTGTTGCGCGGACATCTTTAAATATTTCCCCTCCATGACATCAGAAGCTATACGTATCCCTGTCAGCAAGGCTTCTTTTCCTACGGTTTTTGCCCCTTTCCAGAGAACAGGTAATGCCATTCGAAATATTTTCTTAAAAAATCCACCGATACCATAGCCTCTTTGATAAGCTATCTGTCCGCGATAAAATGGAAGGCCAGATCCTAACTGGCCGACATAATGATCTTCAAACTTTTTTGTACAACACACATAAGGAACACGGCTCATACTGTATGTAACGTGTCAAATTTTCAAATGATGTGTTTCATGAAATGTATTATCCCTTTTATAGGATATGCCGCAATCGAAAATGCAGAATAATGATCACTTTTCCTCTTTCGAATGGAACAAATTCCCCAGAGTTTAATCTTATTTCCATTTCAATCGTTTGAAAATGATTTCGAATAACAGGAACATAGTGTGGTCTGTCATAATGAGTACTGATGACTTCTCCATCTTTTCCATTTATTTTTACAATACGCAATAAGGGAGCTTGAATGTTTCCCACTATTTGTGGTTCTACGATATCTGTATAGATATAAAAAAATGGGAAGGAAGCACGTGGATCAGCGACGAAGGAACTTTCAGCTATATCTTCTATTACTTGCGGTTCAAATCCTAACAGATTGCAAAGACCTTTCTCAAAAATTAGTTTTGCTCCTTTCTCGGTTTTAATATTCACACGCTTTGTCACAGGACTGTATTTAAATGTAATTTTGTTTCTTAAAGGTGGAATATTCATTTCGTTCAAAATATCTTGTACACTTTCATAATATCCAGGTGGTAACCTTCTTCCCTGGAGTTCTCCATCTTTTAAAGCAAACCCGAACAGATTATTTTCTTTATTTATATTATACCATTCGTGCGGATAAATTATTTCGGTTAATCCAACTTCCCATAGACCGTTTAATGTAATTGGTATAGGTAGCTGTGTCACAAAATGCGAAAGTGTATTTTCTGAGAAATGTTCTTGACTACTATCAGAGGGCAGCGTCACGTAGAACGACATCTCTAACTGATGAAATTCAGAACAGAATGTTCTCTTTTTATAACATTTTTACATCGGATACCCAAGCATTAAATTTATCCGGGTATCCCTGAAATTTGACAAAATACTGCATTTTTCCAGCCACTTTTTTTTTTGTTTTAATATTTTTTTTCTACCGGATAAAATCCCGAATCAGATACTTTTTGTAGTTCATTTTCATAAAAACTACCTTCAATCACTTCTCCAGCTAAATCTCTTAATTTATAAACTACAGGTTTTCGGGGGATCATTCGATGAATTGTAAATATTTCTCGAGTCCAATTATTTTTTTCGTAACCCTTCTCAAAAGGTCTTTTCAGCTTACTAATACGCACCGTATCGCCTGTTTTAAACTGGGGCTTCGTAACAGATTTTATCATATCACCATATAAATTCTTCCATACCACAGACTGATTATTTATATTCACTGATGAAGGTTCCATTTGAATACTGCGATGCCAAGTGTGATTGTAACTATAGATTAATTTATTCAACACACATCTATATAGCAATGTGTGTTAAACTCTGTAAAATATTTCCACATTTTTGTCTTTAGAGTCCTATTAAATCTTTCAATAATGCTCGCTTTTGTTTCGTTATTTGTTGTAAAATAATGAATGCCCTTTTCTTTAAATAAATTTTGCACTAATTTATTTTTAAATTCCGAGCCTTTATCTGTTTGTAATGAATCTGGTTTACGCTCTTTAAAAATGTTTTCAAATGCCCTTTTCACACTAGAGCCCTTCTTGTCTTTCAAAGGTATAGCCCAAGCATATTTCGAAAAAATATCTATGCATGTTAACAAATATTTATACCCTCTATTAAATCTGGCTAAATTTTGTAAATCTACTAAATCAGATTGAAATTGTTCGTCGATCCCCCCTACAATGACTCGGTTGCGTTGGAACTTGTGTCGCAGAGGCTTGTGAAGCGTATAAGAATCCCTCTTCTCTAACCATCTTTTGATCTCTTTGCTCTTTACTCCAGAAACACGACGTAAAGCATTGATACCACCGAAGCTTGCCGGTTGCGCTGGATTCCGATAAGTCAGATCCAGAATTTCTGACATTACAACATGAATTTTTATCAACGGAAAATGTGATGTTCATCCTCATACAACCGCTATCCAAATAAATGATAAATCAAATTTAAATTTATTTATACTTTTTATAAGCCCCTTACCTAATCCTCATAACAACCTGTTCAAACATTAGTTTTATAGTTTCATCTAAGTTAGAAAATTATTATTATCATTTCATTTCTTAAAATATAAAAAAATAAGAGACTAAATATTTCAATTGTAAACTCTTTTATATGCACAAAAAAGTATTTACAAACATTCACAAAATAACTTGATAGGCGATTATTCACACGCATATATATATACATATACATTTACAATAAATTTAAAAAAATGAACCAACTAACCTGAAACATATAAATCTTTAGCATTATTTAACAACATTTCATAATCAATATTTTTTAGAAATGACACTGTAATATAATTTGCAATATTCGAATTTTTACTCACAAATTCAGCAGCAATGTTCACAATATTTATTTTACACACAGCAAGATCTCCATATTTCCAAAGTTTATCCGAATTGGTCATTGTGACACACTCATGGCCAAGCTGATTGCCGTATTCCATAATGCACCCACTACACTCGAAAATGTCCGCTATGTTTGAACTTATAGTCTCTTTTAAGAGTTCGATAAGAGATGTCGAAAGACACATTTCTGCATCAACAGGAGCGATTTGGTTGTCCTGATGCGATGGCATTTGCTTGAAAACTTCGTTCAAAACGTAGAACTGGAAAGTAGGCCCAAACATTAATGTAACCACCTCCGTTGTTATTTGTTTTCTTATTCGTATGAGTTGCTCCCATTCACATTTTGTAAGAACACATACACTTGGCAAAAATTCACGAGTCAAATCTTTGCGCACAAAATATCTCTGAAACGAAACACACGGGGAATTTTCAACTGTCACTGTTGAAAGGAACAAAGAGTCTTGTATAACTGCACACTGACCTTCTCGCAAAGAGGGACTTAGTATATCCTTATATTCCACTTTGTCCGAAAAGGCTTGCCACAGGTAAGGAGAGAGAGTGATTCCGCTTTTCGTCGGTATAAACTCGTTGTTTTCGAAGCGCACATATTTTCTTAAGTGTACACGTATTACACGAGCGAAATCTGTTATCACAACAAAATTTTCACCACCAAGATAAAAATGATGAGCAGGTAAAGAATCCAACTTAAACGTCGTTATACTTGCATCGTTAGTCATATTACTTTGACTCGAAAATCTAACTCTCTTGTTCGAAGTTGTAGGTTTCTCTGTTGCAACAGCACGCTTCATTTTCAAAAAATCGCAAGACAATATTTCTTACAAACTACTTTCTTCGCAACAAACAAGAGGCAACTGAATTCTTTCCCAAGAAAAATGGCTCTGTTGCTTTCGATGTGACGTCAAAACAAAATGGCTGGCTTAGAACCAATAGAAAAGCTTGTTATCTTATAAACATACCGAACGTCCAATTATGACGTCATTAATTACACAAGTCATGAACAAACACATGAGACAAGCACATTCATATTCATTATACGTCAGACAACATGAACAAAACATGAGATACTCTCCTCGTTGCCACAAGGAAAAATAAAATTTTGATAAAAACATCGTTGCCACAAGGAAAAATAAAATTTTGATAAAAGCATCGTTGCCACAAAATTAAAAAAAATTATCTCTGACAATATTGCTCTCATATTTTAGAAACAAACACTTCTAATTTCACTTTTCAACAACTCCACTCGATTTCAAGATGGCGGATTAAAAAAATGAACACGTGGAACAATCGTCATTGCCACAAAATCAAAACGAAACTTTCCCCCCAAATCCTCGTTGCCAACCAAAATACCGAAATCCTAAAAAATCTCCATGCACTTCTACTTCCACTTTCAAAACAAACACTTCTCCTTTACTTCGAAACAACTCAACTCAACTCAACAAAATGGTGGCACTTCCGGTCACATGGCCTCTGACGTCACTTCCACCGCCGTAGTGGGGCCAATACTACTCTAAGGCATTTCAATTAATGTAGCAGAATGCGCTGCTCCCTGATCTTCTAATTTGATCCAGCTTATTATTTTTGCCGTATTAGGAAATTTTATAAAACTAAGGTTCTTCTATTATAAAAAAGTTTCCATCCTGTTGCCAAAGGATCTACAAAGCGAAACCATGTTTCGATGTCCATAAAACAAAAAATGGAATTGCTGCAAAAGATGGATAAAGGCATATCCGTCTCAAAATTATGCGAGAAGTATGGCATTGGAAAGTCCATTGTATATGACTCAAGAAAGAAGAAAAAGGAACTTTTTGAATTTTTTGTGGAAGCATCTTAAACAACTTACATTGAAAGAAACATTTAACAAAGTAAACAAATAACTATTAAGTTTTTTTGTAAATTTTGATACCCTTTAGAACATAATTGTTCTTTCTTTCATAAATTACGATTTCATATTTTTAATTCTATAATTTCTGCATGCCATCTTGCCATATTAAAATTGATGATCTATTATCCGGAAAAATCCCAAATCCGGAATCACCGAAGTCAAGACGAGTCTGAATTTCGGACTTTGTACTATACCATTATCACCTGGGACTGAATCCTCAAAACCTTTACACATTTTATTAGAATCGTTTGCGCTTAACATAACCTGGGGAATAGCTAACCAAAATGATATTATGATTACACAGAATTTACAACACTATCATTACACAAATCATTAACTATGGTTATTAACATGATTAACCTTCTTTGTAACACCATTAACAATTAATTTAAATTAATTTATATGCAGGCTTAACTTCACTATTGTAATGTTCCCTATAATAAAGATCCGCCTTACCTTGCAGAATGATAATATTTCCGATTTCCTTAATCTGAGCCTAGTACTATGTGTTAACCACAGTAGGGTTAGCAGGCACCTGCTGAGAACTAACACACAAAGCACTCCTTTCCTTTCGGAGTATATTTTATTAATAATCACATCTGTTTGGTAGAAATCGGAATGATTAAGATTAATTTTGTTCATAAGTTCGGTTATATGTTTCTATAGCCAAATGGACGTTTATGTCATGGATCGTTTCGAGTATATTTCGTGCAGCTTGTTTGTAAGACAATGCGTTTACTCTGGAAACGCTAGGGACACCATCAATCGAAACTTGAACATAAATCCGTCATCTTGGGTCATTTCGCAAAAGCTCTAAATCACTTGAATTACATCTCGCACATAATTCACATCTCGAAAAATCACTGCCGAAGCAATATTCGCACGTTCCGACTGCAAGGCCGCGCATCATTTCATGGATACTTTACTATGGGACATATTAGCAAAATTCATAGGTAGGGTACTTGATTTATTTCAATTTGATCCTAATTTGATGGACGACAGCGGTCTAATAAAAGGCACTCTGATTGAAATGCAAGCCAATGCACGCATTTAAACGGAATTTTAAAAATGGGACTTAGAACAGGTGCATAGAAATTTACTATTGGTCTCCTCTACCTGTGTAAAATGGGATTTTCAGTGTCTCTGGGAATTAACACTTCAATGCATGAATTTTTATATTTTTACCAAACATTTTTTTTTTCTTCATGGTCATGGCTTAAATAAATATGGAAAAATATTTAACATTTTTTATTGATTATATTTTGAATTTTTAGGTTTGATGCATATATGCATCGTCATGCATTCAGCACTAAAATGTAAACCACATGAAAAATCATTTACAATAATATATTTAATAAATATTGGAATAAAATACTTAAATTATTTATTGTTTTTAGAAGATACTGACTTTAATTAAAATTGTGATGAAAATTTAAATAAAAATAACATATCGAATATTTTGCACACGTATATTTATTATGCAATTTGTGTTGCATGGAAAATTTCGAAATCCTTATTCAGACATAATGCTACAATGCATTTTTCAAATATAATAAATGTTTGGAATTTGCAATTTGCCATTTTACAACGATTGCGATTTTCGTTCCATATGGGAAAATATTGAATTTTTTCTTGTGTGGCGCAGGTTGAATGAATGTTTGATGGAGGACCTCTCTGTCTTTTTCCACTGTAATCATTTTTTAAAAGACCGCTCGGTCTTCCACATTTAGGAAGTGAACTTTCACCCATTTTGCACAGTCCAACAGATAGTTCAACCTGAAAAGCGGCTAGGTTTAGAAAATCCTTTGGGTTGGCTCCAATCTGTAGAGACACTCTTTTGAACAGGAGCCACACATTTATGACCGCAAGGTCTTAGAAGGTGGTAAAAAATCTCATATACCACTTTCTTGATCTCAGAGTTATTTTACACCTTCTTATGTGGCTATTCAACACATCTACGCCCCCCATATGTTTGTTGCATCATTTCAAAACATTTGGGCAGTCCATAATAACTGTCTCTTCTTTCTTCCTATCGAAACTAGATATCTATTCAATGGGATGTTTCCTAGCAAACGTAGACAACAGGAGCACATTCTTATTGTCTTTTCACACTAAATTACATATATCAGTTCCACCGCAGTCTGAACAACGTACTCAACGCTTGTTCTCCTCGAATCTTTCCAGTTGCTGTTCTGCAAGAGCTTGCAACCTGGAATTCTGTTCCTAGAACATTTCATTATAAATTTAACATATTTTTACTGGAAAAATGTATGCACGGAATTGTTTAGAAACGCATACGCTTCACTACCGTAATGCAATGTATTTACAGAACAAACGTGGACGCCGCTTGCTAGGTAGGGTATCATTTCCCGATAGTGTAGAAAACTGAGAACCCTCCCTCCTTCTATTCTAACCTCCTTGTTCGGCCCAGGTACACAGATGCCAACACCACTCTTATAGCTTTAGAATTTCATAAATAATATTTTATGTTTTTGTAACTGCAACTCTTTACTTTTGGCGATAATTGCGCTTTTTGGCGAGAATCCATATTAGTTGCCCGGTCGGTTTAGGACTCAGATTTTCGCGTTCCGTGTGTGCGATTTGACGCGGGACGTCAAGTGAAGTAATGACAGCTACTATTGTAATGTGGAATTTTATGCACTTTTGCACAATTTTGTAAGTATAGTAACTTTTTCAAAATTTGACATTACAGTTTTTTTAAATATCGTATGTTTTTTCATAATGTTTATGTCTAAATTTAATATTCGTTACAGAATTACTACACTTGATACGCCATTACTCATGACATCGTCCGAAATGGCGGGAACAAAATTCAGAGAGCATATATATATCAATTAAAGGTTTTACGCTTTGTGAGAGAGAGTAAATAGTAATATTCACTTTGTAGGACAGAGTGTATAGAAAGTTGATCGGTCCATAATGTTAAAATTTTTTTTAGGCACAATTGTACTATTTAATCTAGTTGTTAGATTATTAATATGATTGCATTTCAGTCATTTTTTAACTTGTATATCATTAATAAAAAAGTATCATTGACTCCTTGGAATTATGTTACATAATCTTGCCCAGCTTACTGTGCTGAACTTCACAGTTATTCCTATTTACCATGACAACGATACTTTAGTTTGTGTTTTTACGTAAGTGGTGGTTGTTACGTTGGATTCTTTATCGCCGTGTAATTGAATACATCGCCAAACCTACTTCATTTCAACGGCACAATTTTTAAATCGTTGTAAAAGATGAAACGCGTTTTTTCGTTTTTAAAAGAAGCACTTCAAATTGCTTACACATTTTTTCTTCAGTTTATTTTAGAAGATTAACGCAATTATATTTTAAACTCATTATAGAAGCACTTCAAATTACTTGCACATTTTTTCTTCAGTTTATTTTAGAAGATTAACGCAATTAAATTTTATATTTTAAACTCATTACTTTTCAAATAATTTTTCATGTGTAAAACACAGCAGTAATCTTAAAATATTTATCAGATGCATTTCAAAGCGTATTATACATTCACAGATTTTCTTTTATACTGTAATCAAATAGCTATTGTCAAGAAGGCTGAACAACTCTTAGCTAATGTGTGCTGCTTGAAAACGCTTCTTCGTTTCTTAGGTAGCCCAGGTACTTCCTCATAGTTAATTAGCCAACAACATTAGAAAAAAAAAAAAAAAAAAAAAAAGTTTTTGAGATTTTGTATTTTCTTCAGTTTTTTTTTTTTTTTTTTTTTTTTTTTTTTTTCAGATTAAGTGAGACTTTCTCCCTCTCCATAATATTTTGTGAGAATCAGTAAGTTTGATTGTATTTTATGTAGAATTTGTTGCAAATGGATAAGCTCTTTTAAAATTATTTTATTAATTAAATCAAAGATATTTATTTAATATTCATTTTACTTACTGTTACTTTATAAAATTATATAAGGATACAGCAATCCCAATTTCTTCATCAAATCATTTTTGATGTGTGTATCACTTTTCAAATAAACAGTTTAAATAAATTTAGAGTATGAAGTATAATTTTAGAGACTTGGAGTTATTTTCTTTGATTCTCCATAATCATGTTGGAAAATTATTTATCACTGTTATTTTTATGGGCAGTGATATAAACATAATATATGTTTTCTCTGAAGTTTTCTCTTGTGTTGTAATATGGGCTGACTCAGATGTTTTGATTTTTACTCACCCATTGCTGTTTGGAATTTAAAAATGTTCTGTACAGAAAACCAGCTGCAAAAACAAAAATCAGTAAAACTGGATATTATGCTCCAGTTTGGCGCATTTTCAAAAAGTTACCAAGTCGCCAAATGGGTTGTTTTTGCTTGTTTTAAAAAATCGCTAACTCATCATATCGCCATATTATTGGTTCTTGCGAATTTGAATTAATTCTGTAACCATGCAAAAATATCTAAACAACCAGTAAACATTCAAAAATATCTAAAACGGGACTTCAAGAAAAACAACGAAAAAGGGGGAAAGTGCAGAATCACCCACTGCTTGGCGCGCTTTTAAGAATTGCACATACTGGGTATCCATGTACACATCGACCGATTTTCACTTTAAAAAAATCCCAGAATTAAAAAAAAAAAAAAAATGGCATTGGACACTCCCTTAACTCCAAAAAATGGCATTGGGCACTCCCTTAACTTTATCCATGTACACATCGACCTATTTTCACTTAAAAAGTCAAAGAAAAGTGACAGAAATCCAATTCTTGTTACTCTTGCAAACAAATAAGTGAGCGATTCTGCACTTTACCTAAAGTATTTGAAAGTTATTAACTATGCATTTTATAATATCAACAATATTAAAAGTTTTCGTAATATCATGTACCATTTTTAAGACAGTAGCAAAATGGAGTAAAGTGTTTTATCATGAAATTTAAGAAATTGTAATAAGTAGCAAATAATCGGAAAGCATTGATTCGTATAAGCCAAGAGGTTACCAGATTTGGCACGATTTCGCTTCACTTAATGACTGGACCGTAATCTCCAGTCTAGTCCAAAAATCTTAAAAAAATAAGGAAAAGTTGTGGGACTTGTTAGATCTGGTCTTTAGGGGTATCAGCGACCCCTATACCGACAATGTTAAATTGGCCATTTTCAATGTATCTTTTCTCAAAATCTGCTGTAGATACACTCTTGAAGAAATTTTTTGTGTAATTAAAGTATACCTGTTTGATTATACCAAAATGAGTTTTTGAAACATTTTGAATTTTAGAGTAATTTACAGAATATTTTGTTAGGTATAGTAAAATTTAGCACTTTTCTCACACACAAATTTTTTTTCTAAGTTTATTACAGAAAGCTCATTTCAGTAAATATTAGGTAACCGGCTAATCTTTGGAATATGGTAACAGGTAGTTTGGCGACATTTTGGTAAGGCAATAAAGGTTACTAGCTAGGACTTTAGTAGTGTACATGGATAAAGTCAAGAGTGTGCGCAATGACATTTTTGTGCAATTCTGGGATGTTTTTTCAAGTGAAAATAGATCGACGTGTACATGGATACCGTGTATGTGCAATTCTTAAAAACGCGGGAAGCAGTTTGCAATTCTACACTTTCTCCCAATTTCGCACCTAATCCTCGTCATGATTAAGCATTTTTGTTCCATAAAAGTTCTAGTATAAGCGTAATTTGGCTAGCAGATGTTAGAAAAATGTTGAGTAAAAAAAAAAAAACATGCCTTTACTTTGTGAAAACAAAATGGCGTCCAAAACAAAACTAGCAGGTTGCTGTAGCAGGGTTGGTCGCCAAAAAATCGCCAAGTTACCATTATCCGAACATTAACCAGGTAACCTAATAAATAAGCCATAAAAATTGTAGATACCTGTGAGCAGTAGTTTCTGAGAAAAGGTACATCAAGTATAGAAAAATCACGTTTGGAACACTCTTGAAATATTTTGTGTAATTAAAGTATACCTATTTGATTATACCAAAATGAGCTTTTGAAACATTTTGAATTTTAGAGTAATTTACAGAATATTTTGTTAGGTATAGTAAAATTTAGCACTTTTCTCACACAAAAAAATTTTTTCTAAGTTTATCACAAAAAGCTCATTTCAGTAAATAGGTACCTAATAACATAATAAATAAGTAACCTAATAAATAAGCCACAAAAATTGTAGATACCTGTGAGCAGTAGTTCCTGAGAAAAGGTACATCAAGTATAGAAAAATCACATTTGGAGAAAAACACATTTTTATGTAAAAATCCTCATTAATCAAAGCAGTCGAAGACAAATTAAAACTAGATTTTTTACAGTTCTAATTTTCATAGAGATTAAAGAATGGTATCTTTAGAAAGATAAAAGTGTAGAGAATTTGAAAATGCAAAAATCCGAAATCAAAATTTTTTGAAGATTTTGGGGTTTTAACACCCCTTTAGAAATAAGATAAAGCATAAAAATGATTTATTGACATATTTGTTCATTTTTTCTACTTCCAGCATATTATTTTGTCTGCATCAAAATAACAAATGAAAACCAAAAATCTGATAATTTTGCTAGCTATGTATTTGTCAACAAAAGAAATTGTCTCAAAATGCTGAAATTTGAGTTATTGGAAACACAACATTTAAAATATTTAATTAATCTACATGCACTTAAAATGAAAGAGGCCCGGAGAAAGAGGATATGCTGTAAACCTCCTGATCACCACAGTATAATGGTTACTATAGTCACTTCCGCAAAGAACCAGGTAAATGTAAACATCGCCAACTTTGGCGATAATAGTTGAAATCTGGTAACCTGTCGGATTCAACCTGTTTGCTTGTATGAAGGTTGCAACCATTCCTCTTATGTTCATTTTGTTGAATTATCACCATCATTGTTCGCATTTGCCGATTTAAATTATTCTTCACTTATTTATTATTATTTTTTCATATTTTCACGTTATTTTTTATGAACTTTTAACAATAAATAGATAGAAATATTTTCATATAATTAAGGAAGTTTCCGGTAACAAATGGTGGTTCGCGAAAGAAAATATGTTGGGAGGGGGGTCAAAGAGAATTTTTAACACGGCTGTTAACGTAGCGGTGAGCACGCAGAACCATGAGGTTACCAATCCATAAAATTGAACTGCCCCCTGAACTTGGTAAGTAAAACTGCAACGGCGCCAATGGGTTTTTTGCGGATGAAAACCCGTGTAATGTTCTACAGCTAATGAGGTATCAGCTATCACGCTGTTTCATACAGGTGGTGTATTAATTGCATATCTAACTATTCATTAAGAAAATCTTTTCTGTAGCAAGTTTTTCTCTCGCGAGTGTACTGGTAACTTACCAGAGTTCAAATGCTGTCATATAATACCAGAGTTCAAATGCTGTCAAATCGGCTGGTTGTGTGTGGTTTTCCTATGAGTAATGTGGATACGAGCCAATTTCCTTTAAAAAGCTCTCCATTGAAGGCACCTCCCCCCCCATATGCAAATATCCCTGGAGTTGCTTTAACAAATCTGTGCATGTGCTACCACACACATGGAGTACTCCTGGATTTATACACTTTTATATTTAACCATTTCACTGAATACCAGGAATACAAATGTAAATATCAGCTGTATATTTCTACTTTAACTCAAAAAATTTTTTGTTTCTTAGAAAATGCTCTTTATTATTAGTTGTGGCTATAACTGTGCTCATAATGATAGCCAAGCAAAA